CAGTCTGTGCCAACGCTTGATCTGATCTTGTAGTTTTAATGATATGATTTGTCTCTTGTTTGTTTTTCCATCTCTTTCAATAAGTCAGAATCAGATGTGACATGTGCCAAATCTCCTCATGCTGACAGGAGTAAGTGACACAATGTGGAGTGTCAGGCTAACGTTAGCACCAAGCACTGGAATCAAATTAACCACCTAGCCTGGAGCCCTAGAGGAGCTGTGCCAGAACAAGCTAATAATACCCCTTTCTGCCTGTTAAGCCGACTGTTTCCTGGTCCACTTTCCCTCTTAGAGGAGGAGGGTAAATCTGTGTGATATTATAGCTGCCGCTTAAGAAGACTCTTTGGCTCCGAAGGCTGACAAATGAGCCTTGCACCTAAAAGGATAAATCTAGGAAGTTAGCAATGTCAAGCCTTTGTGCTCAAGCATAAGATTCAAAGTAACTTTTCCAAAGTGTCCTCTGCTAGAAATTCTTCTAAACTTTCGTGATGCCTGAAATGTTTTGATCAACTGTAGAAGCCAAACAGACACTCAGATGGTACTCACAGGAATTACTGCTGTCATCTTTGGTCCCATCAAGAGAGCCATCGGGGTTCATTTGCAAGTAGTATCCCTGCCTGCAATATAACCTGGTCACTATACCCTTGAGCTGGGGATCTGCAGGAGACAAAAGGGAGACAAAACAGACAAACATCAGTAATTAGTAGTTTGATGAAAAGCTCAAACCAACCGAATTCAATTCAATAGATTAACTTATTTCTTTAAAGGTCCCATGTCATGCTTTTCTGGTTATTACCCGTCCCCTTGTGTGTTATGTAGCTTGTTATGCATGTAAACGTTCTGAAAAGTACACACTGAGTAAAACACAGAAAAGACCTGTCTATGCTGCCCCATAACGCCTCGTTGGAGATTTCTCTTTTTCTTCCTGGGTACAGTGACGTATTTGGGTATAGTGACGTAACGTAACGGCTACGCGGATTGGTCCAAATGGACCAATACGCGGACTCCCTCACACACACACACTCAATCTTTTCTCAGCTGCAGCTCCGCCGATTTCTCCTCCCTGAGACGGCGGGATGTGGCGAGGCTGTGAGTCTGTGTGTGAGCAAACACACAAACTCCCAGCCAGGCTGCGGGCGTGTGTGTGTGTGCTCGGGATGGTTTCGGGCTGGGTTTCGCTTTGTCTCGCTGTCTCGCAGACGGCCACTGTGCTCACAGGGAGGGGGGTGGGGGCAGGAGCTCCAACAAGCCGTTTAGGACGGAGAGTGAATACACATGCTATACAGAGAAACCAATGTTAGTTTGGAACATTGCACAATATACATTTATTTTAGTAGACCTCAACAATGGAATTATGATCAGTAGAAATGGCCATGACATGGGACCTTTAAATCATTTGAACACGACAATCGGGCTCGATATATGGTTAAATTAAAATCAGTAGACGAGGCTGTAATTTCGCCAGCTGTTACTCTCATGAGCGAGGCGGAAAATAATTGTTATCATGCCAAAAAGCTGCCGTGTCGTTTATTGCACCTCAAACATTAAAACAAATCCAGAGTTCAGTGTTTCTGTACTTCCTCTAAGAACAAAGGACAGTAAAATAAGAGCTCTGTGGCTTCAGGTCGACCGCCGATTAAAGCATGACACTGTTGTTTTCCCCCAAAAGGTTTTTGGGGCCCGGGTCGTAAAAGTGACGTAGATGTTACTTCTCGTCTATGGACATCGATCGCCTACTGCTATATTTGGTAACGCATACATCAGAGCCGGCGAATCGCGCTCGATTTCCAAAGATCTAATGTAAGTTGTTTGCCCTGGGCTGCCCCATTGGAATCGGGCTCTTTGAAATCCAGAACAATCCACTGGGGTTTTATTACATTTCTGATCAGATGGCAAAACCTTCAGAAGTTGTATTGTTGCATTGGACAGATGACCAGGGCTTCGTTGTGCGGCGGAGCGCTAATTTTGGCCAGGAAGGGGATCGGCCGATATATCTCTTTTTAGACGCTTTGCTGCTGATTTAGTCAGCAATATGAATCTCAATAACACGTCCAGTGTCACAATATTTTGCTGCCTTGCCTACAAAGGAAACTCGGCGGCTCTCATGTTCTGGGCGGACGGGGGTTGAGCCGTGAGTGACATGCAGGCTTCTGCGATGCACGCAGCAACCACCGAGATCACAATCATATTGGATCAGCCGATCACGAGCAGGTAACGAGGCCTAGCTCAGCTTGTTGCTTCTGATAACTGTGCATGCTTGCAGGTTTGTTGCTTTACCATTTATTGCTTAAAACTTGCGCTTGAAAATTACAATTTTAAAAAACGTGGATGTAGGATCGTGATATGTGGTTGACGAGACATTAAAGGCTAGGAATTCAGGAGGGGAAAGGGCAGCAATTCTGAGCTCTGCTCTTAAAAACGGCTTTTTGTTTTAGTCTCGATACGTCAACCCCCAGCTCTATTACATCACAAAAGGGTGAAACATCTCCGCTCTCTGGACGCGGTATAGTGAGTAGTTGCGTGAGTTGAGCGTTGGGTTTTAGTGGCTGGTGATTTGTTCTGGTGTTTTACATTGTATTTCCGCACCATTGTAATCACGTGGCAGTTTGCGTGGTGTTGTGTGCGAGGTTGGCAGCAAAATACAGAGCCTGTCAGGAGCATCGACGGTCCACAGTTTCTTTTCTATCGTTTGGTGTAGATATATGTCTCCGTTTGTGCTTGTTTGTTCTCTTCTTGGGGTTGTTAATATCTATATTCCTCTCTTTCCTGGTATTCTCTCTATGTTCATTATATAAGGAAATGATTTCTTTCCCTTTTCCTTTCTTTTCTCTTTTTTCCCGTCTTCTTTTTCTCTTCTCTTCGTCTTGTATACATTTTGTGGGTTAATTTATGGTTTTTTATATATATGTTTCTTTGTGAGTCTTTTTGTTTTGAATTGTGTTTTTTGTTTCCTTGTGTTGGTGTGGGTTCGGTGTCTGTGGTTGTTTTTGTCACTCCTCCCGGTTTTTGTGTTCATGTTTGTTATTATTGTGTTGTATTTCTGTAATTTATTTGTTATCAACGAAGGGCTCCAAACCTGGTTCTCCGCCAGATCGTCGAAGTATTGCAGGCGTATCTCGCGTCTCCCGCTGCCGGGCGGGTTCACCAACCGAGCAGCCGTGTAAGGCGTGGAGTTGCCATTTAGCGCGTAACGTGAGACTGTTTTTCGGGGCTGGGAGAAGTTGGCGCCATTCGTTGGTCGTGGTTGATGGACTCGAGTAGAACATTGGTGCGCTGCGAGGTAAGCTGTGTGGGACTAATTATCAACTTATACTGGTAGTTATCGGCTGGAGGTATCGCATGATAGCTAATCTTCACAATGCTGTGTGATGTGACGTTAGTAACAGTCTGTCAGCTAACGACGCCGGACCGGTCACCAAGGATAGCTGCTGCCCCGGCAGTTCGTCCACTGGTTCTCCTCACACGCCAGCGAGCTGCGCGGATTTGTGCTCGTCTCTGGATGGCCGGTTATTTTCGTCTATATCGCCTGCTGTGGGGTCGTGTCTCCCGTTGGGGCTAGCGCGCTGCACCTTAATTTGTTCATGATGCATGTCGAATATCGCATGTTTTTGTTTCTGTTTTTTGTGTTGTTTTAATCTGCTGTTTTGTATTCATTCTCGCCGCTTTTTTTTTTGTCTAGTATCGTTTTTTTTTTTGGTTGATTCAGTTTTTTTTTTGCGGCGCGAGCCGAGGCGGGGCTGCTTCTTCTATCGGCGGAGAGTGAAACCTTTCTACAAAGACGACGCCCAGAATTCGGGAATGTGAGTGGTATCATTCTGTATGTACTTTTTTTCGAAAATCTAGTGCTGATTCATCATTTTTCCACGCATGGTATTCCACAGCGTTGTCTTTGAACCTGGAAGTTGCTCTTTAGAGGAGTCAGACAGTTCGGTGACTAAATCTTCATGCCGGTTAAATATCGTTAAAAAAAGAATACCAAGTTGCGTATAGCGATAAGGGATTGCGAAGAAAGGATGGTTTGGCGGACAAAAAGAAGCCTTGTTAATTCCTGTATTTTCTTGCAGTATCTCGTTATGTTATTATATCGCAGGGCGGAACGCAAAGAACTATCGCTCATGTTCAATAGTTCGGTTGTGTTCTTAGTTCTGATGTAGTCTGTTTTTACAGAAGAAGGCAACTGTGTTGCTGACTCAGAATAAGTTAGTGTATTTCAGCTCGTTTATATGTAGGAAGTTGTGTTGAATTTTTTTCTATACTTAAACAGCAGTGTGTTATCAGACTAGATGTTGTGGACGGTAA